TAAAAATAAATTTGTTTAAACTATGTTCACGCAGGAAGCACCACATAATTGAATTAACTATAGATGTCATTGCTCAGTGTTGCATTACTTCCAGTAAGGGTTGCAGTGGCGTACACTTCAACCTCACAAAACTGAAGTAGCTTTCCTACGCCACGGAAGAAAACGTTGACATAACGTCCTTCCATCTGGTTGCAGTTGAAGACCATGTTAATTTCTTTGGTCACAGTGATGACTCCACATCTGATGGGCAAAGAGACAGAAAAACAAAGCTATTGATTAACCTGCACAAAATGGTAGTTACAACAGATTTGTCTGCATGTATACATTTTTTAAAAATAACATGAAGAAGCAGGATATATGTTACTATGAGGTTAATAAGGTGCAGCTGAATGCAACAGCTCAGCCAAAATATTATATTTGAATTATATTCAGTTTTAGAGATAAATCATCCATTATATACTGTATTATATAGTACATATACTATGTTTATTAGCTGAATATCAGAACATTTCTAGAAATATAATAAAAGTATTAGTATTCAAAAAGTATTAATTATAATTAATGAATAAGTGGCAACACCCTGGAATCAGGGACCAGTAACTAAATATGAACCAAATAAGAAAGTGCTGGATGGGTGCCAAACAGAGAGGGGTGAATTTGTACACTGGCCTTGGTTACCAACTTACTGAAATGTTATACCCAAATAATCACAGGCAACAACTTCTTAAAATTATAATAGGATTTATTTAACTCTATCAATGATCAACAACTCTGGCAAGTAAATCACTATTAACTATCCTAAGCAAAAATTAAATAAAGCCAACAAAGCAAAGCATACAAGACAGGCATGTGTGTGAGAGACAAAGCAGGGGGAGAGACAGAGAGGAGGGGGGTCAATGTGGCCACGTGAGTGGTTCGCGGACCGGGCTCAGAATGGGCTCAAAGCCGGCAGATTTTGGAATCAAAATGGCGGTTTAAAGCCATGTGATTCAGACGCACTCTGATGCTAGACTGCTGTGGGTCACATGTCAGGTTCTGATCGTTTTCTCTCATTTTGATGCCAACCAACCGCACTTGTCCAGTCCGAATGACATTCCAATGTCGTTGCTGTAGATCCTGGTAGTGTGGATCAGTGAATTGATCTCTCGCTCATTTCTAGCACACAGCTTGATGTCATTCATGTAGAGGAGGTGACTGATGGTTTTTCCATTTCGGAACCGGTATCCATAGCCAGTCTTTGTGATGATCTGGCTGAGGGGGTTCAGGCCTATGCAGAACAGCAGCGGGGATAGTGCATCACTTTGGTATGTGCCGCACTTGATGGTGACTTGGGCAATTGGAAATTGAGTTGGCTTCCAGACTTGTTTTTCACAGCCCTATTGAGTTCTTGATGAAGGTTATTAGTGTCCTGTGCTTCTTGTACATTTCCTTGGCTCCCCTGGTATTACTGCCAATTCCCTTCTGGGCCCTGTCCATGTATTGAGCCATGTGCCTACTCATTTTAGCCGCTATGATGCAGGAGCTTCCATGTTGTGCAGAGGCAGGTTATTGGCTGGTGGTTGGATGGGATTGTTCCCTTCTGGGGATCCTTCATGACCAGGACTGTCTGTCCTTGGGTTAACCATTGTGGATGGGTCCCATCCATCAGCAGTTGGTTCGTGTTGCCAGGCATTCATGGAGCGCGGTAAGTTTCTTCAGCCAGTAGGTGTGGATCATGTCAGGGCCTGGTGCTGTCCAGCTCTTCATACCTGCCACTCTTTCTTGGATGTCTGCCATTGTAATAGCTACTGGATCTTGTTCAGGGAGATTGCTTTATTCTCCTGGCCTCTGCTTTTCACATGCTCTTTGTGGCTCATGGTGTTCATCTTCTAGCCAAGCATCTCTAGGCTACTGAAACCCGGTACTGATAGGGAATCGGTTCCTATATGACCGGTACCTACGGGACAGAATGCACATTATGGCACCTCATTTCGATGCCACTTTTTTTCCTTTGGTGCACTGAAACAGACATAAGGAGCGTCATCACCATTTACTGCAGTACAAATGTAGCGTCCCTTCAATCTCAGGTCAGTGATGCTTGTGTTAAGCAAGTATGTGCTGTAAGGGCTTGTTGACTGCAGCCTTAAATGGTGATTGGGACTTGTTGTGACCCAATGGGTCCTGGGTCCCCCTTGCCGTAGCAAGCAGAATTGGTTGTGGAACTGGGGCTTTACAGAATGATGATGGAGAATAATCAAAAAGTGAGTTTGTGAGTTAAGGCAAAATAAACGAAATAGCCCCTGCAAACTGAAAATATCCAACATGAAACAATGTGAAAGAAGTTTAACCTATTTTATCACCTGGGATTGTTGTTGCCATTGTTCTCCACTGAGTTACCAATAAGGATTTCAGCTCCCTGTATGTCAGAAGTGCAGCAATCTGATCTTCGGATGACTTTAATATATGAGATGTTGTACGGACCCCGCATGTCCAACCTCCACCAGGGGTTGTTCTCCAACCGAGTGGCAGTGCAGCTCCCATGCAGATAGTCTGAAAAAGGTTTGCCATCAATTGCCAACTGTGGCTTACGGTTGGAGTCATACGATGAAGACTGAACAGCCACTCCACCCAGAGCAACATTAGCTGGAGAGTTGACACAATTAAAATTATAGAATTGATAATTTCATACATATTTGCAGTGCAAAATATCAAAAACATCTACATAGGAAAGACATTGATAACAAGCTTGAACATGCTGTAAAATTAAAGGCAGAAAATAAAATACAAATATGAACATTATAAGAGTTTTAAGAATTAGATATTAGAACATTTCATTTTTAACATCTTCTATGCTTTTTTTGTTGGGCAAAACTACATTTAATGCTTTTCAAGACTTTTCAAGACCTGCAGATATTTTGAATAACTGTTCAAGGCTCAGACAGGTTAAATTATTTCACCAAAAAGAATAACATAAATAAACAGAAGTATAGCAGAACTTTTTTTTCTTCTTCCCCCCATTAATCATCTCAGCACCGGTCAGGTTTGTCTTGTGACCCTTTGAAGAGGGCCCAATCCTTAGGTGAAGAACTTGAAGAACATAAACTATCTAACTGTATAAAGTAGGTAAAACTAGCTCCACCTCAACCAGCTACAATGATAAAATGCTGCTTACACATCGATGCATCAGTATTGACAATCTAATATTGTCATATTTAATAATAAATGACTGACAGGATGTTTTACTGCAGAATCAGTACTTTTAATTTTGATTTTAAGCACATTAATAATACTTTTGTACTTTTCTTACCTGCTTGGTGAGTAATCATTGAACGGAAAAGTATGGACCCTGTAAAAAAGTTTACAGAAATTCAAGTGAGCGTGCAGACTATGTCAGTTCTTACATCTTGTAGTCAGCTTCCTTGTGGCTTCAGAATGTGTGAGAAAATCGAATATATTAATTTAGGAAAAATTAAATGAAGTCATGTTCTTCTTCAACATATATGATTTAATCTATATCTATTATAAGGAATTAAATTATTAAATCTTAACTTTTTAACTTCAAAGCTTAATATATTTACACAACACATGTATATCATTGTTTTACTAACCCCCAATAAAAATTAATTTCCAACTCCACTCCATGATCTATATTTAATTACATTTAACACCAAGCATGTTTTAAAACTTTTTTATAAAAAATTAGCTTTAACACAAAATGTGTGCTTATGGTGGCAAGACTGCAGTGTCAAAATAGTTTAAGATGCTGGTGTTTCTCATTTTTCCCATTATGTGCATTTGAATTGATTTGCATACACTTAAATGCAAAAATTTGGCAATGCCTACTGAGTAACTCAGATCAAGTCCAATGATACAGACACAAGA